TTAAAGAATTAACCAGTGCAAATGCGAACTGAAAACTAATTTTGACCAAAAGATGAGTGCTAAGAAAACCGACGATTTTCTAGTTATTCTTATCAAACTTACTTTTTAAATCGATGCTACACTTAAACATGAATTATTTTAATCTCACGTAATTTCAAATGTGTTATAATTTGAATGTTATGAATGTTATGTTATGATATTTGGAGCCAATATCTACTAAAAATGTCATTTTGACCAACCAAAACCATATATACGTCTATCAAGAATTAAACTTTCTTCTCTGAAGTTTCGGAAAATCCCAAAAATGGAGACAAAACGAGATGAACAATGAATACCGCTGTATATCCGAGAAAGTTCCATAAAATCCCAAAAATGGCACAGAAGACAAAATCACAACTTTTGAAAGTTATTGAAGTGAGAATCTAAGCTTGAATTATATACTGCACTATACAATACTTGATGTGCGAAAAAATTTAACCCACTTCATTCCCAAACGAAAAACTTGAAAGAAAGTGTCCTACTTTTGAAAGAAGTCCGTGAACAAATCGGAGCTTAACCGAAGATCTAGGCTTGAAATCAAGATATATTATACTATACTCAGTAATGCAAGAAATTGGCCCTCAATTACGCTTTAAAAACGTTCAGAAAATTCGAAAAATCTAGACAAAATCGGATGAACTTGAAGCTTCCTGCTTTTGAAGGGAGTCTCTGATGAATGAAAATGGAAACTTTACCTGAAAATCTACACTTGAAATACATACTATGTCATGCAAAAAGTGTTTCCCCCAATTAAATTATTAAAAACATAAAATAGAGAAAATTCCAAAATGTTAAGAGGCAAAATTAGATGGAAAAAATAAAACTAAGCAGCATGTCGACGCGCGGGGAATATATATGTTCATCAGTACACAACACTGTACAAGATCACCTTGGACGAAGACTGGTTCTTTTCCTTGATGGCATACTCCGACTTGAAGCCCGTGATGTCCTCGAAATAGTCCTTGGTCACCGGGCACGGCGGCGGGCACTCCAAGCAGACATCGTCCGCGCGGCGCTCAGCAAGCTTCAGCTGTTTAAAGTAAGCGTCACACGGCGGCGGGCAGCAGGGCGGCGGACAGCAACACGGTTTCGGGCAGCAACACGGCTTCGGGCAGCAATCATCATCCGCCCTCTTTCTATTGGCGTTGTTCTTATTGCTCTCCTGCGCCTGATGCCTCGACGCCTTCCGCTTCGCATCGGTGTTCTTGGCATTGGTCTTGCCCCAGTTTTCAAACATGGCCTCGATCGAGTCGCAGGGACACGATCCGTCTGCAGGTGCAGCAGTTACTGATGCACCCGCTGCTGCTGCTGAGGGTGAGGCATCCATGAGACGCATCCGCTTGCTGTTGATGAAGCCGCAGCTTCCGAAACTGCGAGACTGTTGCTGTTGCCTAGGCTGCTGTTGCTGTTGTTGATCAACATCCATTTGCGTGGCATCATTGCAGCAAACGCCGCAGTCGGGCTGCGGACAGCAGATGCAAGCACAGGGGTTGCAGACGTTGGGTGGGGTAGGGCCTGGTCCTGGGCAGCAATCCGGCACTGGTGCATTGCATGGGTAGCAACCCGGGCAAGGGCATGGTGGTGGACATGGTGGTGGGCAACATGGACAGCAGTCGTCATCCAGCGACATCTGTCGCTTCACCCCCCTGCGCTGCTCCGACGAGCGCTCCATATTCATATTTATATATATGTGTGTTGAAACAGACGCTTATTTGTGTGGTGTGGGGAAAAAAATTTCGGCCCGGAAGCTGGGTTATCGCACGAGGAGACGATGGATTAATTAAATTTTAAATTTAATATAGAAACTGAGATTAATCAGGAGTAATGGAAGCAATAAACTGCACATGCATGTCTGGTGAAGTAGGGAGGAGATGGTTTACTGCACCAAAAAGTCCTCTGACCTTCATTGTCACTGGGCAGAATGTGGGAATGGGGCTCTGGAAATTCTCCACACGCCCTTCTCGGAATTATGTTCTGCTTTCAGAAATCGCTTCCGTGATATAAAAAAAATTTCGAATTAGAACAATGCAAGGTTTGCAAATGTGATTTCAGAAGGTTGAGAACGCCTATTCCTGATATGAATAATCGCAGATCTATGATGACGGCCACATGACGCATAAAAAACGATTCACATGTTTCAGACATACATTTCCGATAATGAATTTGATACAGGGTGTTGTCCAAATACTCTAACAATAAGTCAGATCAAAATGCATTACAGGTTATATTTAAAGTGTTTGATCCTATATAGATTTAAAGAATTGTTTTAATTGAACAAATTCATATTGTACGGTATTTGTCATTTCAATATGCTGTTTTTCTGTTCATTTATTGTTTGATTCTTTGAACAAGATTTAGAATGTACATAAGACACTTAATTTAGATCAGTGGTCAGCAACTGCAGTGGGCCACAGACTAGCTCAGGTCCCCAAAAGTGTTGTGTCAGACTAGCTGAAGGAAATTTTTAGCAAAATAAATTTAGCTATGGTACTGTATGGTAATGAAGTCCTACCTTCATCTGAAATTTTGATAAGACAATGTCATTTGAAATTATTTGATTAAATATACAAGTTGGTTTTTTGCGATAAAATTCATGTTTTGAAAACTTTATGACAGGTACAGTATTAAACAAATGTCTGCTGGTATGCAAAAGATTATGGAACTTTAAAAGTCCATAAAGAATAAGATGGTCCGAGGGCTTTACAAAGTTGGGGAACATTGATTTATATTTTAGATCATAAAATTGGTGCAGGATGGGTTGCTTAAGAATCATTTCCTGCTTACAGATTTGCTATATGTGAATTTTTAGCTTGTCATCTTGCACTTTTCCATCCAATTTGTCATCTGTGAGCTGATGAAACAAATGGGCAAATGCAATGAAATGAAGCAAAAACATCATTTTTATTAATGGCCAGTGCATGGTAGACAAAGGTTTGCTGCAGTTTCGCATTCTTTTATAATGGCTATATTTTTCAGCTTTCATATAGGTAAATTAACAAATCAGAAAACAAGTTCACATTCGACAGGGTTGAAATTCAATCGGACAAATTAAACATTTTGTCTAATCTTACTGTACATGTAGTCAACATTCACGATTATTTGATTTATAATCACCAGGAATAAAGTACTGACAAACATTCCAATTTTTTTCATCTTTGGACGCTGAGTCATGTATGAAGTCAGACGTTCTCTGAAATTATGGTACAAAACTAAATAAGGTCGTGGTTTTGTAAATACTGTATTAATTTGAATTTTACTATGCGCGGATATTCAAAAGCAAGTGCATCAACTAATGTGACCCGATTTTTAGATGAAAAGCCTCATATAGATTATAGGTACTGTGTAGTATGCAGTAGTGTCAAGGTGCTGATGGAAACGGTCCAATTACAGCGTGCGACAAACCTTTGGTAAATTCTACGAGAAAGTAAGGGGATACAACAGAGAATATTCCAGAAATTCGACATGTGCTCGGGACGACAGTTCTGGAAATTCAAGGAAAAAATGAAGGGAAAATGAATAATTGTAAATACGATATTGAAATTGCTCTTCTTTCAGACTTGCTTTAGAGAAGGTTTTCTTCTTACTTATACTGAGTTGGTGTTGCTACTGCTGTGCGTTAATCCTATACAGTACAGTATTTTTAATCTTTCACTTAGCTTCTTACATCACTCAGCTCGAATTCACGTTGTTCGGCGCGCAAAATTGTTTAAAAATAACCAGTCAGATACTTTCGTGCACTGCAGTGACATCAAGGCAACCTCCTGCGATCTGAGCATACTGCACGGCACAGCAAGAATCAAAAAGTCTAATATTTTTCATAAGCACGCATGGCATTCAACATCCAACATGAATCGAATTCGTTTGTTTATACTTAATGCGAAAGGTAGAGATCTATAAATTATGGTGTGCCATCCCAGTTAAAACCATCAGCTTTTTTTCAAAATTACCCACAAGAATGTTCTGCAATAGATGACAAAAGCTGGTTTCCTGGAAGTCACAAATTTCCGGATCACCACTTTCAATGGAAAATTCAGATGTAGAAATACCAAATGAAGGTACAACGATACAACCTAATGAAGGTTTCACTGAGCATAGAACAAGCTAAGATACACTCCGAGTTTCAAGCGATTTTACGATTACTCGCTAAATTTATCGCTCACTAAAAGCCGCTAACACACCTCGCTTCAAACATGGCTCATGTCAACATTCATTCCGGGCAATCGGTTCACAGGTTAAGTCTTGACGATTGCTGCTGCTGCCCTCCTCCGGTATGTTGCTGCCCACCTATGCCAAAATGTTGTCCCTGCCCACCGCCTCCACCAAACTGTTGTTGCGATCCCAATTCTTCCCAGCAACAACAACATCGCGTTGTGGCTGACGACTGTTGTCCACCACCGTGTTGCCCCAAGCCGTGCTGTTGCCCGAAGCCCTGCTGCCCACCACCTTGCTGCGATGCGGAATCCGAGTCTTACGACATTGATGCCATGTATGAACGCAAGATTGAGCAACTATCCAAGATGTCAGTGCAGCCTCAACAGAAGAAGTCGCAGGTTATGGCAAAGCGGGCTCCGTCAGTCCCAGCACAGCAGACGATGCCGCTGACTTTCGATGACGTGGTGCCTTACTCGGCGCCGAAGAGACAGAGAATGAACCACGGTGGTTATGTAGGGCACCATCACTCCGGAAGAGTTCCCTTCCGAGCCACGCATGATCACCAAGTGCACCACGGTGGACACCACAGGCTTCGAACAGTGCGTTCGTTCGCCACATTTACATTCGCATAAGCATCCAGTTTGCCAATTTAACTTCAGTATATTTTGCAACGCTTTATCTCACACAACTTGCTGACACTCGATTTTGAACACATAATTAACTTACTGAATCAAGAACCTTTCGTGCAAGACATTTCTGTTTTTTGCTCAATAAATATAAAAAATCAATTTCTGCGCAGGATAGGTACGCTCAAAAGATGTCTTCTATGTTGATGCTTCGTCTTACGCAAAGATACAGTACGTTACAGTGAACTCCAAATATACTAGTGGAGGAAAAAGCTTAGTTTTTAAAAAGGATGTAGATATTTTGTACCCAACTATGATGCGCACCTGATCTTAGCGCATTCTTTCAAGATGCTTGAATTTAATAAAATACGGTAGGAAGTGTGATCTATTACGTCAAAATCCATTCGAAAAGATGTGGAGTTCTCATTCTAGGGGTTTAGAGCTTTCGAGAAAGAGCAGGCCAGCGATTTTCTAGCAGAGTTAAAATTTTGTGTGAATCCGTTAATCGTAGCCCTGAAGCAATCATCATACCCTGGCAGTAAAGGCTTAAACCTGCTGGTAGCACCATGATAAGAACATGAAATTGAGTTTTACCAAACTTTTTCAGGCTCTCCACCACTAGGCCTTCGCGAAGGGAAGAAGACCGTCGATGAAGAGCTCTCCAGCGACGAGAACATCTCTGCCATTTTCACATTTTAGTCGTTTTATGTTCATTACGCATGGGAAATTGAAACCAAAAATACAACCAAGCCAATCCACGGGAAACCCCCTTTACTTCCATGTTCTACAACAAATGCATGATCACAGCCTTACGAAAACATGAGCACTGTTTCGGTTTAATCAACGGGATCCTTTCGCCATATCAACGTTTTGTTATTCGCCGGCATGTCGAAACTCATGTTCAGTTTTAATCCGTTCATCTCTGCGAGCGGCTTCAACTGAAGGTCCACATCCCTTATTCCCCATTCAGGATTAGAAGTTTTGAGACTTTCGTTGAACGAGACGTTACTCTCCGGTGTGAGGGTTCCATTGAAACCGTAAGGGCCGTAGGTGATCAGAAGTCCACCGGATTTCAGGAGAAACGCGGCACAGCGGAACAAACCTTCGGAACAGGCGAAAGGACTTATATGCATCATGTTGGCGTTGTAAATCATGTCGTACGAATTGGCATCACATCCACGGAGGAACTCTCCAACAGCATTTGGTCCAGGTTTGTCGGTGACGTCGACGATCACTGGTTCTCTGACGTTCTTAAGGTTCAATTCTTTCTTGTACGCCCGGATACTTGCCAAGTACGATTCATCAATATCAGACGGTTGCCAGTCCACTTGTGGTAAAAGTGGAGCGAAGTGGGCAACATGCTGACCAGTTCCCGATGCGACTTCTAAACATTTCAACGATGTATTACCTTTAAAAAACTTGCCAATAGCAACGTTCAAAACTTCCAAAATCGGCGCCTTATTGCGCGCCGGAGCAGCGGCTTTTATCATTTCTGTGAATAAGTGAATTTTCTATCTTCAGATTAATTGGATTAACATCTGATACAGATCGAACCAATACAAATTCCAACCCTTGCGCGAAAAAGTTCTTCAGTCCAAGACGCGCTTGCTGTACTGTGAACTTTCCTAATCAATACAACAACACTGATTCAAATAGCACAGGCGCATGCACTGGAAATACTGCTCGCTAATCATAACTGAAACGCCAGCGAGAATTGATTTCAAGTTTTCAACGCAAACGCATACATCCACCGTTTTCGTGACACAAATCTTGATTCTGGCGAAACTTCCGCAGGCGGGCAAAATGTCCTGGCGGCGTGGGGGGAACTTGAAAAGCGTGGAGAAGGAAACACTGGAACCAAATTGGAATTGTCGGTAAGGTCGACTGCACGTACAGTGTATGCAGCAAGTTCATCAGTGTTTCACCAGCAGTTTCTATACATCTCGCGACATATATATCATACGTGAGCTTATTCTAAGGTCGATCACATGAATTAATATCTTGAAGCCAAGATAAAATACAGTACAGTATTTCGAATACAGTACGCCAAATACGTTACATTTTTTTGGACAAATCAAATTATTTAGGTGTGCGTTAAACGCGTGAACCGATCAGTTCTTAGACAATTATTGACGAGGACACCAGTTGATATGCTGTGGTTCGTGATTAACTCGGCGAAACCATACTTCAAATACACTTACCTTACCAATATTCCTACCAATATGTTCTACTCAAGATTTTTAAATAAATTTTCGGATCAAAAAGCTGTTCCATGTTTCTGCAGCAAACGTTTATTGTCATAATTTATTAGCATGTGTATGTGTAACATTCGACATCGCCATTTCGTCAGTAATTAAGATATCCCATCTCTCAAGAAAATAAGCGATGAAGATAACCAGAAAAGGATTTCAGGCGTTGACCGCATTTTAAGAGCTTACCTTCAACAGTTTCTGTAAGTATAGACTGTTCGAGTAGAGTTTAATAATAAATATTGATAACTGACATCAAGCAGACAAGAAAATAAACACCCAGCAAAGTCTTTTTCCCTTAATCAGTACTTACTTACTCACTTTACGTTACGCCAGACAGAATTAGTTAATATATTCAGCTTACTAATGAAAAATGGAAAATGCAGTTTCGAGTACCCTAAATGTCATGGACGACATTGTGCTCAAAGTCTACCACGAAGTTCCAAGACCAGCTAGGCTTTTCCTCGAGAAAATAAATACGAATGCTCTGAGTCATGACACTGATGGTGCAGACAGCGACCAGCTGACTCACAATTGCTTCTTCCTCAAAGGAAACTTGAAGGACATCCTTTCCAGTCTGACTGAGGATATGTTCGTGATCGCCGTGGAGTTGCCTTCTGCGAACCCTGCTGCAGTCTGCAAGGTCAATTCATTTGAAACTCATTATTCAATACTTGAATATAAATAGTGAGTATAGATTTCAATCGAATTGCTACTTCATGTCTGCATCGCAGGTGCTCGAGGAAATCATAAAGAAATGTCCTAATGTTCGTGCGCTGAAAATCGGGAGGAACGGCAAATCTCCGGGGAAGCTCAACAAAAAGACTGAGAAAGCTTTGGTCAAAGTTTTCAAGAAGATCGCCACCAGCTGCACAGAACTTTCACATCTGGAAATCAGAGACGTCGTAAGAGCAGACATTTTCTACAGTGCATTCTTAACGGTCTGAAAACGAACCTTAAATCAATCTAGGATTTTTTGTCCGGATCGTATTCTTTTGAAGTATATCCGAACTACGTCGAATTACCAATAGCGTCCAACGAGATTAATTGCAAAAAGTACGCATTAGAATTGTCGTTTTGCGTTTCACGTCTTCTAATTTCTAAACGCGTTAAGTTTTAGAAAACGTCACGAAATGACACTGAAACTGCAGACAAACTACTGTAGTGTGGCATACTGCATTGCATTACCGTACTCACGCGAATTTTAATCGCCATTTTTTTGGTTTCAGAAGCTCAAAAACAATAGGGGGTGCTGATAATCGCAAAATGTATATGCATTCCGCATTGATGTTAGCATCAATTTTCGAATTTCCGAGACACAGGAGTATTCAAAATAAATGAAAATTGTTCGTCTTTGGAAGTGCAATATCTAATCGTAAATATATTGTATGCGTGTAATTCAATTACTGCAAGATATGACAACAAAGTGAAATATGCAGACGTGAAACACGCACTGAGTGTTACAGATGGCCTTCGTTCACCTTGTCTTGACACCGTTAAACCTTTTCTGGGGAAAAATCTAAGTTTATTCGGAAATTTTAGGCTTAACATATCGTGGAAGGTCAACAGAACACCTTTAAAGTTAGGGAATGCTTATATTCGCCTTATAATACAATTATAATTTTGTGCATGAAAATCTAGGCAAATGCTTTTATTCGAAGAGTGCTTATTTTCGCGTAAATGTCCAGAATGCTATTCGTTTGTCCAGTTCACAACGTGATTTGGTCTAGGTATAGAGGTCACTCCTATAATCCCGAAAAATACTATGACAGGACGGACGGACGGGCGTTGTCATACATTATTTTTATTTGGTATGTCCATATAAATGCGGCTCCTTATTTTCTGACTAAAATCATTTTTTAATCTGCTAATGAAAAATAAGGTAATCACTTATGCAGTACCTTGAAATATGAGCAGGAAGTTCAATTGCTACTAAATTATCGGTTCGGCAAAAATTGGGTTTGCTTCGTGTACATAACTGGTCAAGGAATATAAAAGTCCAGCGCTGTATTTTCGAAAATCATGAAATTCAGTACAGTATTCTACTTACCTTTTGGCTGTTGCATATCTCATTGATTTCACAAGGTGATTACTCGGCCGGTTTACGACATTCTGAGTGAGATGTCGCACCTTGCGGCACTAGGAGCTAACGTAGCCTGGGACGACCTCGAGTCGAAACTCTGCGCCGATAGACTTATCACTAAGCTCGAAATGCAACCGAAAATCGAACTATTCGATTTCAAGCAGTATGGAAAATTCAGAGGTCCAATGGAACATACGACCCGGTAAGTATCACCATATAAACACTGTACATATCACTTCACATTTTTAAAGTATATTTTCTGCATTTTATCGCAGGGATTTCATTAAAACGAAGTTGAAAGCTGTCGAGGGTTTGTCGGTGACGACGAGGACGAACAAGCTCGACTGGCTGTTTCAATGCGAAGCTCTGAGATACCTGGATCTGGACATTTCAGCGCCAGAGCTCCTGTCGAAAACGAAATCTCAGGCAACGTGGGCCTGTTTGGAAAATCTCCACAAGTTGAAACTGTGCTCGAACACTCTCACTGGAATCCCGCCGCTGAAGCAGTGTGTGCACCTGACTGACGTCATCTTGGATATCAAAACGCCGGACGAGGACTTTTCCACTTGGGCTGACGAGAGAATGCCTCCACACTTGGAGTTCGCCATGTTCACGAAAGTATCGAAGTGCAAGATGGACATGCTCTATGCATTTCAGAATCACGAAGAACTGAAAGCGCTCTACTTTGGCTACTTGGAGAATGGTCTGCCTGCCATTGGAACCTCTGCTGCTCCCAGTTCCCTCTCGTAAGCTTCGTAGTCAGATATTAACTTTTGCAAAGCGCGAGGATCGATGAGGGGGTGCATAAATATATATACATTGGGTCATTTGCTGAGCAACGAACCTTGTGCTCTCCAGAGTTTGGCTGGTTGCTCGAAGCGTTCGTTGTTCAAGTCAGAATTTCCCTTCGTAACCAATGGTATATAAATTAATGCGTTCCAGCCAAATTAGGTACTATGCTAATGTGGAAGAAATTCATAAAAAATTAAACAAAAATAAATAAAATAAGAGGTTAACAGCCACTAATAATTTGTACTTGAAAATTATCTGTAGCAGCTTATTAACTGGAAGTTAAAGAGGCATTACAATTTAATTTAAATGATAATTCGCCTTAAAATTTCCCTCTAAATTCTTTAATGATGTTAAAAATTCTTAGCATATTTGTTTACATAGTTTTCACGCTTTGATTTGAGGTTTGTTTCTCTGATGGTAAAGTTTCGCTGTATATGATCTCGTCTGATGGAAGTATTATTGATGAGATACCGCGCACGTGAAAATTATATGGCAGATGTAACATACATGTCACAGATGACCTATTACATTTTTAGTCAATTTTTTATACATTTTATGCGCACTTTTATAAGCAATATTTACAGAAAGTCAATGAGCCCCTTCAATACTATTCAGGCTTTGCATTTTCAATACACCTATATACGTTTTTTTAAAAAATAGAGATTGAGATTGGTCGACGTTTATAAGCGCGTCAATGGCGATTAGCACCCCGGATTCCACGTGGAATTAGAAATTTTATTATCAAGTTTTAAGCTGCTAGCAGAAAGCGTGTCGATTCCTTCCATGTGAGATACGCCATAGCCCACCTATGTGCTGGTATATAGCATTAGTGGCTGCCGTTCTTTGGTCGTGAACACTATTCCAAAGCATAATTTCCCCCACACTGAGCCAAATTTTCTGCTTGACTCAACAGATTTCTCGTGATCCTCGAAAACAATGATCCGGAGAATGACAGCGAATTTTATGACGCTGCTGCTGCGCAGATTCAAAGCGATTTACCTGGATTGCGATTCAAGGTGAATGGATTTGAGTCACCCCTTAGTACGGTACTATGGACTAGCTACTGCAAGAAGATGAGGAGGCTGATAGAAAACCCAGTAGTTTTTGACTGGGCAGTGCCATGTTTCAGTGACAAGCTGTATTCAAAATCGGATGCGTGCGGAACCGGTTATGAAGAATGTCCGTGTGTACTTGGAAAGAAATAAAAGGTCTCCGTTTTGTGAAAATTATTTCTGCATCACGTGCCAAATTAGCATTTTTCAGATAAGGAGGTGAATAAATACAGACTTACTGAACCCTCGAGTTTATTATTTACAGGAAGTCAACATGTTCTTCATAAATGTTATTCATAAATTACAGTACCTTTCGGGTATACGCACAGCACAGTTGTGTTTCTTGGCATGCCGCGAACTGTATTACAGCTGGTATGTGACGAGCATAGGGGATGGAGACTTGGGATGGAGACTTGGGAATTATACTCCAGGCTTTTGCTGTGCATCGCGGACCGCGGCGGATGTCAGTACGCTACCGTACACAATATATATTTGTTAACTAAATTCGTAAAGATTATAGACTTGCATATGTTCTGAATAGTTGTACGTTAAGAAACAGGATACAGTATATTGTAGATGGTACGTCAAACCTTTAGTTTTTGCATTCCATTGTGAGGAGAATCCGTTGAACGTGAGGCACGTTTAGGAAGCACCTTATTGTACGAGATTGAGGCTCAACTCGGTATGCGAATGGAAACGCGACTAGTTAGAAGATGGCTAGTGGCAAATCGCGAATAGCATCCCGTGTTAACGTCAACGGTGCAAGCAAAGTCGTTGTCCTTCACATTACTTGCGTCTCTTCTTTTTCCCTATAAAACGAGTGCGGATAGTTTTTGTGGGTGATATGTTGGCCTGATTTCGGATGAGTCGCTGTTGGTGTTCAAGTGTATCATAATTTCTGAATGAGTGGTTTGTTCTTTATAAATTTCAGGCAAATCTTCGTGTGAGAAATCCGCTCGCAGTTTTTACTGAGACATGGGTCCGAGGAAGGGAAAGACTCAGCAGGAGCAGCCTGTGCTTGCTCTTGGCCCACAAGCTTTGGACGGCGAAAACGTGTTTGGAGTAGCCCATATTTTCGCATCATTTAACGACACCTTCGTTCACGTGACGGATTTGTCCGGACGGTTAGCAAGAGCCTTTTCTGCAGTGTTGAAAATTATGTTTGACATTCATCCGTTCTCTGATCCGCAGTGAAACTATTTCCCGTATCACTGGTGGCATGAAGGTTAAAGCCGATCGAGATGAAGCCAGCCCCTATGCTGCCATGCTTGCTGCGCAGGATGTTGCGGAAAAGTGCAAAATTTTGGGGATCACCGCGTTGCACATCAAGCTCCGAGCCACGGGAGGAAATAGAACGAAAACTCCGGGTCCTGGTGCACAGTCAGCGCTTCGTGCTCTTGCCCGTTCTGGGATGAAGATCGGTCGTATTGAGGACGTGACTCCAATCCCTGCTGATTGTACTCGTAGGAAGGGAGGTCGTCGCGGTCGCCGTTTGTAATTGATTCGGAGGAACTTGTATGCTCCTCAAGGATCGAGAAGAAACACGACCGTAATTTCTGTTGAGGATCGAAGCTCACTTTTTTCTAATTCTTGGCAAGATGGTCGTCACAATGGTGGAAATCATTCATAAAGAGTATAACCTAGTTGGCTCTTCTGATCTCAAGATTATCAATGATCAATTTTGTCCCGTGGTCTGTCTTGAATCTAGTGTTTGGTTTGGCAGCTGACGTTGTTGATTTAAGTAGGGTTCATGATGCTTGCTCAGGTCAGATTGTTCATCTAACGTGAGCCGCGTGAGGGCGGTGGATTCGTCTTCTCTGTCTTGATAGTTTGAGTCCGGAAGGGTTGGAAATTCCAAGCCATCGTTGTACCTCTCGTTACAAACAAAAACGGCATTGTATATTTCCCGTTTGTTCAGAAATTTAAATTGTAAGATGACTTCCTTTGTAACGGCCATATTGTTGAGTCCCATGATTGATGTATGATCTTGGAGTGCTTCATGACTTTTCATCGATGGAAACAGGAGATGGCGGAGTTGTGGAAGGAGTGTATGAGATGGTTGATAGATTGTAAAGTGCTTCCCGATGATCACCGAGTTACTCAACCGAGCGCTCAAGTTATAGATTTAGCGCTCACACTTCGCGATGGGTTGGTGCTGTGTCGACTTGCTAGTAACCTGGATTCTAGTGCGATAAATTTGAAGGATGTCAGCCCCCGCCCGCAGACCTCGCAGGTATGGGGAAATCTTCAATTCTGTTCGATCCATGTTGAAACTTAATCCAAATTTTCAATGTAACTTGTAGTTTCTGTGCGTCAAGAATATCAAGTTGTTCTTGACAGCATGCAGAGAACATTTTGGGCTCACTGATCGGGAATTGTTCGAGCCCCATATGCTTTATGACCTCTCAAGATTCGGACAGGTGCTAATTACGCTTTCAGCGTTGTCGAAAACTGCGCAAGCAAGGTCAAAGAATATAGCGTGAGTTGTTTTTTTTTATGGCTGGGAGTACCCGCTGCATAGTAGAATTGCTTCGTATTACAGTCCTTTCCCGATTGTTTCCCGGGGACCAGTTGATGACAGCATTTACAAGAATCTCGACGAAGTGGCTGAGTGAGTACTGTCCTGTGAATTTCTGTTGAAATCGTGTCGCGAATACCAATGAAATACTGTACCATGAAAACTCCCCGATTTCCGTCAATGGAAGAAATTTGGCCGGCTTTTGGGATGAGAGAAGTACAGTATACTGTACTGTAGTACCTGTCAAGAATCCATCATGCCCGTGTCTGCATTTTATGCACTTCACACAAGTCTAGTGGAATATTGCGATTTTGATTGCGCGGCCGTGTTGAAAAGGGGATTTCAGGAAGACTTGGGCAGATCAAATTACAGAAAATATTCATGCCATGAGGGAAAGCTCTTTTTATTAAATACTAATTTGTTGACGTTGATGTGAACAGATATGGCAAGATTTTCGAAAAATGTCCTGACGTGTCTACTTGTCATATCGGGGGTTCTTCGCTTCCGTCTCGAAATGCACGATTAAAATGCGAAAGGAAGATAGAGGGATGCTTTTCGTCACGGGTCTGTATCATAAAATCTTGTTGATGCTGTATAGGTTGATTCTCTACAGCAATATTTTCATGGATCGATTTATCTGGCCTATGCTTACCTTTTGTCAATACATGAGTTGTTTCGAAGAAGAATTGTTTCATGAGAATCGTTGTCCCGAAAGTTCATCCGTATTCCGTGGATTTTTTTGAGAAGTTAATTCGAGGATTTTGAAGTTTTGAACCAGATTTTGTTTATAGTCACCATTTTCCGCCTAATCACACTGGAAGGCTCGATTCTGCTTACGATCGATTGCGCATACATTTCGATCACACTGGTGCGGTCTACACGAGTGATCGGGAAGAAGATGTTTACGAAGACATTTGTTACATTACCTTCAAGCAAACAGAGGTAGTTTTTTTGCTCCCAACTTGCCTGTCGATTTGGCAACTGCATGTGCTCCGCAAAATTAACGCTGGTTGAGGCTACTGATGTCACGGTTCTATCCCTTCTTGTTCTATTCGGTGAATGCGACTTCCCTCTTTTGGTTTTGGCATCTTACCATTCTGCTTTTGCCGTTCGTTGCATGGTTTCGTAGTGATCTTGATGGAGCCCAGTTGCACGAAGACGTGGTTTACCGTCGCCAGTTGGATATTCGAGCAAGTTTCGCTGAAGCGTATTACGAGCGCATCGAGGATATTTATGACGTTATTTGCTCGTACTCAAAGAAGAACGAGGTAATGGCTCGTATTTTTCCCAGTTATGTGTTTCTGTGAGTGCTGTGGCGGAACTCCGTTTTTTTGGCAGCTGGTCGCATGCGATTTTAGTTGACGCTTGATGATTTTATGTGCTTCGTAGTTCTACTCATCCGGTGGTGATGGCTACAATTTATTGTTTCAATAGAGCTTATTTGCACTTTTTTTTTGCCTGGATCTTCTTGAAGAATTTCTGAACAGTTGTATCGTTAGAGCATCAAATACTGAACTGAATATGAAGGTAGCATCAGCGTGTTTTAAAAATCGTGTTCAGTGCAGCACATGAACGCTTTAAATTTTCTGATGAACGTTTTGAAAGTTGATGGATACATTAATTAATATGGGAAATGTTCCGAAGAAGTCGATCATGAAAGACGCCTCTCGAAAATTATTTTCTCCACAACGAAGACTCTAATCTGATGACTGCTCCAGGTGATTCATACAAGTTTTGGATGGTACTGTAATTACTGTGGGTGCACTTTTTTGAAATGCCGTAAAATCTCATAATGATGAATTCGTTGTACGTAGAATGGAATTACGTTGTACCTATTCAGCAGGTACTTGAAAATTAATTTGTTGTAAGCAATGCTTAATTTCAACGATTTTTTTTGCAACACGATTCTTCTGTATCTGAAAATATGCTCATGGTTCGAGCATATCTAGAAGACCGTTCAAGTCAAAATGAGTCGTCTTTCAAATCAATTCAGATCGCATCTCAGTATTTGTTTGTTTGTAGCAAGGATTGATATTTTTCTTTTTAATCGATGTAATATCAGTTTAAATTTACTCAAGTTTCAAATGCTTTCAAGAATAAATGTTGGTGGTTCGTGGGAGTATTGATTGAACCTCTACGGGCCCACGTACCTTTCACTTTTTTTTTTACTCATGGCTTGGTCCACCGCATATATTTGAGCAATTTGAAATAAGCCTGGAGGTTGGTTCACAGATTTAAAAATTTCTGAGTGAAGTACGAATGAAAATTTGTGCGGAGAGGAGCATATTGCTTTGACGTGATGTCCAACTGCATGAGTTGCCCCCCGTATCTTGAGTTTATTCATGTCTAAACGGTACGATCGTGGCAAACTGTTGTTCAATTTTGGAATGACTAGCATTCAATTTTGGGATCTTTCTATGTTGGGAAGTCGGTTTCAATCACATTTGATTTCTCATTCATGCTGCTGGGCTCAGTTTGGTCTGCGTTTCAAGAAACTTGGAAACGTAACATCGTTTTCTCCTTCAAATGCACGGAATTTACGGAGATTTTTTTCCCATCCTTCATCTGCTTCTCTGTCAGAAATACTAAATTTGAATAGAGTCATAGGTTTTTACCAGTAATGAATGAATTATTTTTGGATTTCGCGTAGATACCGAGCGTAACACAAACTCCGCTGAACAAGCGCGATCACTGCATGAAAGAACTCGTGGAAACAGAAAACAGCTATGTGATGGCTTTGCGGATGCTGAAGCAGCATTTTATGAAGCCGTTGTCGGACGTACTACCGGTGGCCAAGCGTGACGTGATATTCCTCAAGATCAAAGACTTGATCGAAATCCACACGGGATTCTACAGTCAGCTATGCCAAGCCTGTCAGGACGAGGCTGACGCAATTTCCCCGCCCGGGTCTTTGAAACACACAAGAGCCAACTCCTTCGATGTTCCTTCCCGCATCAGTGATGTATTTTTGCGGTGGAAAGAAAAATTCGTTGTTTACGGAGATTTCATTGAAAACCTGACGCGGGCACAAGAAACGATTGACGATCTATGCGCCTCGGAACCGTCGATCAAAATAGAAATAGCGGTTAGTATTTGCGCATCCTGTTCAAAAATTCCGTTGTTTTGCTACGGTTGATGAATTACTAGTTCTTCCCCTCTCTCAACCTCTTTCACTGTTTTTACCGTGTTTCCGAAAATTATGTAAGCCCTGATAATTGAGGTTCCAATGTTTTCAGAAAATATCGCGAAGCAGAAGTTCTAGGAAATCCTCCTGTGTTTCCATGGCGTGACCTGTCCAAAAAATGAGTCACGATCTTTGAAACGCGAATCCGAAGAACGTTATACTGGTATACTCTTTCTACCACAATTTTGTCTCCAATGATTTTCTCTGTATAACGAATTTTTTATTGTCCCACGGGAGGGTTCACAACGCATGTTATAGAGGTCCTCTGCAACGAAATTCTATCTTGAATTAATTTTTTCTGGCCCCTTGAATTTTGTCCTTGAGGATCCACCTGTACATCATCAAGGTGATGAGCAATGAATAGAATACTGCGGATTTGTCTTGACATCTCACATTATAATGAAATTAAAGCCGTGGTTCGTACGAATAATGATCGTGCAGAAGAAGGTGACGTGATCTGAAGTGAGGAAATGCATCATTGATTGATTTGAATCAAGGAATGAGAAACAAACGGTCATGCAAATCTAAAGGGAATTTTTAGGCTAAAATACAATTCACATCAGATCGTCGATAGTTAAAGCCTTTAGGGCTTTTTGCCATTACTGTAATTTTTCTTTTGATGTTTTCTCCAAATTGAATGAGTGGATAGTTTTCAATCCAGATATTTTAGTTATAATTTTTTCTCGCGTTCTTTTTCCATAGAAATGTGAAATGGCGGCGGAACAAGGAAAGTTCCGGTTGCGGGATTTGTTGACCGTTCCCATGCAGCGCGTGTTGAAGTATCACCTGCTTTTGGATCAGCTAATCAAAAACACTTCGTCGGTGAGACCACAGGATAGCTAACATGATTAAACAGTAACTTGACTGAGGATGGGCTCTCGCTTTGTGAGATAGGATCATGATGATTACGATGGACTGAGAAACGCGCATTCTGCTTTCCTGGACCTTAACGAGTATCTTAACGAAGTGAAGCGAGATAGCGACGATCTTCAGGCTGTACAAGATATTTTGGTGAGTTTCAATTTTTTAAAGTTCGAAGCCGAGTATTCCGTATGATACGTAAAATTTCAATTTTTATAGTTGAACATAGAAGGCGACAATATTCAGGCTCATGGTGGTGCCTGTGATCCGAAGAAATTCGGCCGTCATGTGAAGGAAGGTGAACTGAAGGTGCTCTTTCACGATAACCCTCCAAAGAAAAACCGGTTCGTTTGAGAGATGACCAGTTCAGTGGATCTTGATTCATTTTCTCTATCATTTATTTTCTGTAGGTACATTTTTGTATTCGACAAGGTTTTGCTTATCTGCAAGGCGAGTAGGGTGAGTGGAACGCTGCTTTTTTCGTTTCTAATTCGGATGACCGATGTTAATCTAAATTTTACCCAAGAACGAAATTGTATGTGCTCCGTAACATTGCTAGCCCATTCGGAAGAGGTACAAGTCGAATTTATTTATTGTTGAAATTCGTAAATGTCCCTTCGAATCCCTTGTAATTTTATTGTCCCTGAATGCATTGCGATCCTTGAAAGCAGGATCCTCGAGTGAAGCGTTAGGCCGTGTGTTGATTGGTTTCGGATGTTTGTACAGAGGTTAAGTACTCTTTTAAGAGGCACAAGGTACTCCGACGTGGGGGAATACGCCCATCTACTGTCACAGGTACTTCTGGGTTACCCTAATGTATGCTTAGGCCGAAAGAGTAACGTATGTTGTGCGGGAGTAAGGAAGTAAGCGTCGATGGAATACCGTTGTAGTTCCCAAAGGACCGAGGGATGCTTCGCTCTTTTAATTGACTGTTCGAGTTTGTTCAGATAAATGTTCTTCATTTACTGTATCTCAGCCTAGGGGAATTACCCTTGAATCTTCATTTGCTGACGAATCGAAGTTCACTGCTTTCGAAATTTAATTAGCGTGTGACAAATCTTTTTGGAAGTTTGAATTTTTGAGCATCTTTGATGCTTTTGTTCATAGGTTGATACCTGCTCTTGTTCATAGGTTTATTCCGAAGTGAATTATTTGTCATCACGAGCCGAAGACTTCGGTACTCGTTTCAGAGAAAAGCTTTGCACAGATTTTCACATAAGTTTTTGTAACATTTCGTTGACAATTTCTCCTCCATTTTGAGTGAATTTTACTTCTCTTGGCGAAGTGAGGATTTTTGAAGGTAGTTGGAAGGTTATGAAGGTCCGAAGAACGTGGATTTTTGCTCTACAATTACTTGATTCACACATGTCGAATAATTGCGTGATGGACGAGTGTTGGAAGATTGAAAAATTATAGTAGATTAAAAAATTAATCTAAAAAACCACGTTTTCAAAAAGCAAAAAATAACCTTAAATGTGGTGCGCATCTATATCATTTGTATTTCACTTCTTCCCAACAATCTCCATGCGCACCACGTTTAAGGTTATTTTTTGCTTTTTGAAAACGTGGTTTTTTAGATTAATTTTTTAATCTACTATAATTATTTTATTCTTTTAAAAAAATATTCTTAAAATTTATTTTTTCACAAAAGATTGCATTGTCATCAGTTTCTAGGCTATCCTGAAAGTTTCAGCTTGATAGCTAGTCGGGAAGTGAGTGAAATTTGAGTTTCAAAATTTGATCCGGACAAACAAACAGACAAGAAAGTGAGTTAATAAAAACGTGTTAATTAATTAGAAAAAAAAATGTTCCAGGGGGTGGGATTGAACTCGGACCTCTGCGACCAATTCAGTTCACCATGGGTTTTTTTCTTGGGGCCAAGGAAAACCTGCTCAAAGTTTTATTATAGAAATCTACTATAATTATTTTATTCTTTTTAAAAAATATTCTTAAAATTAATTTTTTCACATAAGATTGCATTGTCATCAGTTTCTAGGCTATCCTGAAAGTTTCAGCTTGCTAGCTAGTCTGGAAGTGAGTGAAATTTGAGTTTCAAAATTTGATCCGGACAAACAGACAGACAGACAGACAGACAGACAAGAAAAGAAAAGTGAGTTCATAAAAACGTGGTAAAAAGGCGTGTTAGGCGCTTAGACCAGGGTACTCATTTTTTCCCGAATATGTATGATCCGAATATGTATGATCCGGGGTAAAATGGAGATCTTTATGATGCTCTCGTTACATTCAGCGTATCTGGTGAGAAAGTGGATTAAGAGAAACTGGGCAACAAAACTGCAGGATAATTCGATGTACGGAAAATGCACTTTCAGAGCATATTGCTGGTTATATTTTTATGGAAGATACGCGTGGACCGGAGAACGCCTCTGTATGGAGAATACTGTGATGGACAAAATCCGTGTGGTAATTCGTTAATTATAAGTTTATAACATAATTTTTTTGGTTTATTAGTATTCTCCTTGCCCAGTTCGTTTTGCTGATGGTTTACGGTACTTGTAACGTCACACCCTTTTTTGTGTGCGTAAACGTGTTCAGGATGTGAATTGACAAGTGAGGTGTTGATTGAAAGAGCGAAGTATTCCGGATACGTAGTAGGGTCGTATGTAATATGACGTCCGTTGTTTACGAGATCCATGCTATATATCTTGTATTGCCCGGTGATGAAAGTCGTTCTGCTTCTCCCGTGCCTACTCGGTGGTGGTCTTTCGTCGTCCATGGCTTTCTTCCGCTGACTGATCGTCGTTCGCTGACGCACAGATGGTGGATAAGATTTTTGGGGTAAATTTGCGGCTGCTATGTTTATTTTGCTGTGTTTCATCGAGGGTATTGCTGTGCACGGGTGTTGAATGGGCGAACGTTATGATATTGTTTCCGGCCTTGAAGGTTTCAGTCCTGTATGGGTCCTATTTTACGTCATGGATTTATGTTGCGAGTGGTTACGTATGCACGTTTTCCGTTGTTTACCAATAGTGAGGTTTGTCGTCGGAGTAATTCTTCGTGATTTTTGCGAGCGGTCAATTTTATTGTGGAATTCATTAACATTTTCTCATTCCTACATTTTCCAAGTTTATACTGGAGCATGAATATTGTACATTTCTTGTTTTGCGCTATTTTCTTTTTTTGATTTTACAGTTGAACTTTTTTTTTAGAAGGAATTCTTGTAGAACAGAAAAAACTTTGAGTAAAGTAAAAATAGTTGATACTGGGAAAACTCAGTGGTGAAGAAATGTGTGGACGTTGACGCATATTAGTTCTAATTAAATATTCGTTGGAGCGAAATTCGTTGCTGCAAGATTTTACTTTGTTTGATTTACTTGCCAGAATTCTTCTCCAATTTATTTGAGCTCTGTAAAATTGGCAGTTCAACATTTCATTCTGCAACATTTTAGGGCACGATCAATTTAATAAATGAGAAAGCAATCAGTTTTCGACCCTCATCAAAAGCCGAAACAAATGAAAGCATTAGTGTTCTCTTGATCTGTTTCCCAACCTCGAAGAACCGAACGCAAATGAAGCGAGGTTGGCTGGAGTTCGACGGTTGACTTTTTGGTAGACTTTAGTTCAGACGCAGTTTGTGGTTGTAGGATGAGTTCAAGTACTTTTTTGTGGGTTTCACTGCAAGATTGCTAACATCGGGAGCTTGAGCGGTTTTGAAAAAAAAAAATTTGGATCTTCGCAATCGCTTGGCTGTGCTATAGGGGGAGCAGTACGTTTGCAAGGACCTACTACAGCTGTCGGACTACAAGGTCGATGAAACGCCGAAAGACGGATCAAAAAAAGGGGATGGAAAAGGGAACTGGACCTGGTCGTGGCATCTCGTCCAACGCGTTGACAACACCGCGATCACGATGTATGCAAAGACGGAACAGGAAAGGAAACACTGGCTTGCTGCTTTGAAAGGCCTTGTGTGAGTTTTTATTCAGAATTTCATTTTTTTAAAGCTTCTCCGAGATTCTGGATTTGGATGTAATTGCTTCCTTAATTGAATGTCTTCAACGGAATGGAGCTGAGCTGAATTTCCTTTTATTCTAAAGCTCGAAATTGATTCAAAAGTTTTCTCCTACCTTCTTTTTGTATGAATGGAAATTAAAGTAAGTTTTGCGAAGTACAGTAATATTTGACACTCTCTTGCCGCATGTAAAACTCGTATTCCTGGTTAGCATGGTGAAAAGAGGTGTTTAATGTGCACCCCATCACTGAAAGGGAAGGTTAACCTGCCTCCGTCTCGTGTTCTATGAATTTTTGCTGTCAGTGTTACCGAAATGTAAATGATGGCTAATATTCGCGCTAAACATGCTCGAGATATTTTTAATCGGTGGGAAAGTTTTGATCTTGATAATTTTTGTGTCGATAATGAAGGAGGTATCTTCAAAATGTCAAGGGTACAATATAAGGCAACGACACATTAAAAAGGAAGATCTGCAGTAGTTCCTGAATCTCTCTGAGTTTAAAAAAGTGAGGTTTTTTTAATGAGGGGCGTGTAGTTGAAAAAAATTACTGCTTAATGATTCATACGTCGAATGTAACTGGTTTTTCGTCTGAAGGATTGTCTTGAAAAAACTTCTTTTTTTTCTGCTCAACGTAACCTATTCTTCCGAATGCGCACCTTAGAAATATTTTACAGCTCAGCGCGGAAGAAAATCCAGTTGTGAATCATTGATGTTTGAACACTACTTGTTTTGCTGGACCAAAGTCTTGTGAAGATCACTTGTTGATGCCCTCGATTTGAATCTGCCGGATCTTATTTATAAATTGTCTTGTGAAGATTTTCATTGTACAATATTTTGTAATACTTTGAAGTGAAAATCAATTTGCATCTTGATGATTTTACCCCGCTTTTTTATTTCAGGGAGAGAATGAACCCTGCTGAAGCACGGCGTGCCGGACATTGTTTCAGTGTTGCAACGACGACTCCAGGGACCAATTGCAAGTTTTGTCGTCTTCTGATGAAAGGGCTTGTTTACCAGGGTTACCAGTGTTCCGTGTGCTCCATCGTGGTGCACAAAGATTGTTTGGAAAAGCTTACTCTCTACTGCGGTCGACCCGAACCACCTCCACGACGAGAAGAGAGCTTGATCAGTTCTTCCGTGTCTCTACCGCCCCCAAGACCTGTGAATATTTGTTCACTTCTTTCGAGTACTGTGACGCCCCGGTTAATTTACTTCATCTGTCACCGATAAGTTTTTGAACTGAGTGAAGTGAACATCCCAAATTCCGTGGAAATTTCCTTCAATAACTCTTGAGTGGATGATTCGGTATGGTTTTAACGTACATCGTAAAAAAAAAAACAGTTCGAGCGACGGAAAACCACTCTTAACACCGTAGAGAAATAAAAAATACAGATGAACTCTCTCTGCAACAAAATTCAAGGGACCAGAAAAAAATTCGTCGTAAAGAACCCCTAAAACATGGTGAGAGAATCCTATGCCTACGGGACAAACAAATCGTTATGCTGAACAGAGAAAATTGTTGTAGAGAAAATTTTCGAGGAGAGAGTCCACTTGTACTAATATCCACCTCAAAAAAGAGGCTAGAAGTCTTATTTCCATAGGGGTGTTAATTTTTTCAATGAACCACGTTTTTTGCAGTTCATTGGCCCAAGTGAGGTCTAGAATCCGAAGCAAAAATCTATGGCATCTTAATTTCATTGTGTGTGAATTACATTGAATTGTGCAAGGCGTCATTTTCCGGGGTTCCACGAGACTTGAATCATTTAGGCTTTCAGAAGGTTGCCATGGGAATTATTTCTACTCGGTAATTTTATTTTCAGTTAAATGGACCTCCGCTACCGTCGCCCAGAACACCACTAGGCGTCGAGGAAGATTTGCATGGCTATGATTGGTAATAATGAAATTAGTTTTTTGCTTCGTTCGATTCGTCGTGAAAGAATTCTTCCAACTACGGTTTTCTCCTCAGGTTTCAAGGTCGAATGTCGAGACCTGAAGCAACACAGCGACTGAGTGCCAAGTACGTACCGCCGGGGACGTTCATGGTTCGTCTAAGCATGGATCGACCGGATATCGCTATCAGTGTGAAGTAAGTCGAAAACTTAATTAAAAATGTTCGAATTTGTAGCAAGTCCCTCGAAAATTGGAAAACCGAAATACAGTATTCTGTCAAATTCCGGCTGTATGGACGATATTAATTGGAGATCGTGTGGCGCAGAGTTGACCAGCAAAATTTTTGCATCTACATTATGCACTGTATACAGTTTTACTGTTCTTATGCACACGTAGTACGCGTACTGCATTATGTTACCCGTCAGTAATGCACAGTATCATGCTAACATCTGCTCATGACGAATTCCATTACTGTATAACGAATTATTGGTAACGTACTAGCAACAAACTGCTGTTAGGTCCCTGCCCAATAGCAGCAGCGTTATTCAAATCGCCTTATAACAAATTTCTTGTTACAACGAAGATTTTTTCCCGGTCTCAACAGCGTTGTTGTAACTTGTAAGTCTTGTAACGAGGTTTTACTGTACATGCTATTCTCAGGGATGAAGAGCGTGTTCGTCACATGCGAGTGGCCATTAAAGACGAAGCCGGCTTTCCCATTGGAACTCAGGACAGACGATATTATCTCGCGAATGCTCATTTCTTTCGTTCGATGAAGGAGTTGATCGAGTGGTACAAGGATCACAGTTTATGCGAATCGTTCGTCGAGTAAGGACGTGAATTCAACTTTTGCCTCGGATTACCAGGGATTTTCTCCGCAAGGTTGATCATTCAAATTTTGATTCCACGTTTTGCAGACTGGATATTACGCTGCAGAGAACGTATTTCGATATTCTGAACAGCGTGACGGAAGTCACGTCGAATTATTCGTACGAGCCAGGGGACGATGGCGGCGGCGATGATGTTAAGAGTAACGTGTTGTGCTTGAAAGCTGGCGCTCAAGTTTCCGTGCTTGACAAAAAATACGATAACCAGGGTTGGTGGCTCGTCCATGCCCAGCATCAGGTAAGTTATTTTTGTCGTAAAATTTTCTCTTTCAGCAATTGCGTGGTAAATCTGTTTCGACTGTATCAAGATAGAACCGAACAAAAGCCCAGATTTTTCCAGGAAGATACACTTCCATCGAACGGTGGAGGAAATTAACGCCGAATCGAAACATTTTCGCGACTTCGCCGACTTTGTCGGTATGGAGGATAGAAATAAAATAATCGAGAAGCTTTGAGATAACTGGAAAATTTTTTCTCGAATAAGGAGAGCTTGAGTGTCGTTCTTGTAATCTGTTCTCGTTTTGCATGCATTGATATCCTTTTTGGGCAATATCGGCACAGAAACAACTGCGCGAGAGCAAAAAACCTCTCAGGTGACAAGTTTTTAAACGGATTCGATAGGAAAGAATGCATTCCATAACATAATTAGAAAAAATATATGAGCTTCATTCGTCCTCATACGATGAATTATCATAATCAATTTGTATTCTCTAAAATTGTAAATCTAAGCATAGTCATGTGAATTTGTAACATTTTCGCGTCGAAAAATGAATTGAGGCGTCATTTGGTTTTATTATTACCGGAAGCTTCCAAATACTGTATGAGAAATTCATTTCAAAAGACCCACGAAACTGCCAACAATCGTCGGCCAATATTCTTGAATCGCCGATGATTATGTTTCATGAATTTTTCTAAATAAAAAAAGCATCCTATGAGAAGCTTCCGAAGAATATGGGCCGTAAGCTAATAAATTGGGAAGCGTGACGAAGATTTTGAAAAAATGCCTTGCTTTCTTTTTTTATTGAGGTCCTTTGATTTTTGTATGACATTTCCCCCAAGAGTTGGCCAGAATTGTCCCTGGGTTTCTCAGCTGTCTACTTCAGTTATTGCTGTGCGAGTTGTTCCGGAGTCCATTTTGAATTACAGTATTGCTTATCTGCTTTGATCTCAAGCTGTTGCAATTTCAGACTGGATATTTTCCGAAGTCACACTTGAGTCAAAAACCAAGCGTAGCGTGACTGGTCGTAACAAAGCGATGGACTTCATGGCATGCGAAACTAGCGGTGAACGACGTAATTCCGTCAGAAATTGGCATTAATAATCTCTGTTCATACTGAGAAACGATGGGGGAACTCCGCGCGAAAATAGCCAGTCGCGCGGTTGACGTCAGTGCGATGAAGAAATTATTGCGCAGCAAGATATTTTTTTGAATTTTTTTGCTCGTTGTCAAAATTTTAATTTTTTACTCGTGTGAAACCGCAGAGGTTTTGGAAGGAATATTTGTGAAGAATTTTTTGTGTTGAAATTGGGATTATTTTTTTTTGTATTCGTTCCCGAGATACTGTTGTGCTCGACTCATTGCTGTGGGGAATCACTTTTTTCTTGTGGGTCATCTTATTCGTTAACGGTTTTATCCTGCGACTCGAATGTCTTCTCTGTGAGGTATCGTGTCATGGAAGGTGCAAGTGTCGGTTATTGATTTTTGAACACTTGTTTCGTTATTTTTTTCGTAGTGAAGTGGCAACCAAGTCATGCCTTTAGGTACTGATAACCAGCGTGGCATTGGCAGTAGCGCCATGATGTGATGCTTAAATTAATGCATTCGATTGCTTCGAAGTGGCTGCTTTCATCATGTGTCTTCCTTTTGATCTGGTTCTCCAATTTGTCACTGATTTGATGTTGCGACTCACCTCGTGATTTACGCTTGGAACAGTTTTTTTCGTGGTGCCATACCTACTTGTTTTCCAGTTCTCCGATCCCCGCAGAATTCTCTGTGTAGTATCGCGACAGTTCAGCGCGTCCCGAACACAACCCGTCTTGAACAGGGCGTGTCTAAAAAGTTTAATAAAAGGGTGCTAGCGGAAAACAAGTCTAAACCATCTGCGGAAAGAAGAGCTTCTGTTCTTAGAAGCATTGAAATATTCATTTTTTCAATTGAAATACTTTACTTTTCGTCGTCTGGGAAATCTTTCCAGTTGAGCATAACGCACAGAAGCTATTCAGCTCAAGTGAGATTTATACTTCCGCTTTTCTTATCACTCGCTGTTTTGGACGCGCTCAATTGTGCGGTTCTGGGTGACTGCCTTGGGAGGCAGCCAGAAACTCTGGTAATACCAAGTACAAACTGTCAGGAAAAAAAAAGAGCGACTCGGTTAAAAGCCGGCTTAAAAAATCGCTGTTTCGTTGGCCACTCAATCGCCTTGCGGAATTTCATTCGAAAATGTTGTTACAGGGCCAAGGAGAGGATGAGAATTTTGTGGACAATAAAACATTCAGACAATTTCTCACCGCATAGCTCTTCCTTATTCTTTTCCAAGTGCTGTGTATGTTTTTTTTTCTCTGCGGAAGAATTTTGACTCACGGTTTCTTGCGGATTGCAAGAGGGTTTCGTCTGGAATGCTAAATCCTCTGGGCTTATAACAAGCCTAAGTTTCTATTCTTAGTGCGGAACAAGTATCCTCTTTTTATGAGATTTTCAAGTACAGGTGCAAGATTTTGAATGGAGAAATTCATGTCAAAATCGTCGATCACTGCATTGGAATCCTTCTGCGAGTTCGATCCGAGTTCTGAGCGTGTTACAGATGCGTCTTTCAGAAACGGATCACGGTTCGTATTTCTTCTACGATATGAAGTAATTTGCAGAATTTTTCCTTCTATTTATCTACTAGAGCGAAAAGGAAAATCACAGCTCTTCTCGAGGAATGCAAGGTTTGACTGATGGAGGAAAATCGTCGGAAAACATGGTTTACGTCCGAGTCTGAATGGTTGGATCTGGCCGACCCCTCTGCGTGATGTTTATTGTTCAATTGAAAATAAAAATCATAGTTTCGTGTGAAATAATTTGAAGAAAGTTTATTCATTTCTTATTTTCCAGTTCGGGCTTGCGACTGGTTCTGGCCTTACGTACCGATGCGTTGATGCGACAGTGGGAAAAAATGTTGAATTCGTCGTCTTAATACAGGTGGACTCTCTCTACAACAATAGGGACCAGGAAAAAATTGTTTTAGAGTGAATTTTGTTGCAGAGAACCCCGATAAATGGGCAGAGAACAACATTGTACAGTACCACAAAAATTCGTAATGCAGTGAAAATCGTAGGCAAGATCGTTGCATGGAGCCCACTGGGTGGACTCTCGCTACTACGATTTTGTGTATGACGATTTTCTCTGTACGCGAATTTTCTTTTAGTCCCAAAGGGTTCTCTGCAGCAATATCTTTCCATGAATTTCATTGTCGAGAGTTCACCTCGATTTATTCGCCTGCCAGTGAAAATATGACATCCATTTCTACGGTGTTGAATTCGTTTCGGAATAAATTATGTCCGTCGTTCAGTTTTTCATTCGCTACTTTTCCTCACATTTATGCTTTATTCATTTTACTAATCTTTTTTTTTTCAAGTGCAATCCATTTTGAAGTATGCATTTTTTGTGCTATGGTGATCGTGTCGGAGAACGTGAATTCAGACTCTAGAGCAAGAGTCTCTCGTTTCTGACGATACTGTTCAGAGAATTTCAACGGGACTGCCTGAAAACGTAAGTGAATTCAATATATTGTATTGTACATTTAAGAACTTTAAAAATGCATGCTGGGTTGTTGGAGTGCCACCGAGAAAAATGAATTCTTCTGCTGCTACTTTGGTGTTCGTAACAGAGCGCCGAAGTTTAGATAACCTTGGCTTCACTAATTTTGAAGCTACATTTTCAACCGCGGCGTGACCGCGAACGTTGTATTTTTTGTGAAATGTAACGATACAGTGGGTCAGGCATAATCTTGAGAAATTATTCCGGGAAACTTGAAGTAAATCTTGAAGTAATGAAGTATTTATAGCACCCGAACAAAATAAATGCGACCGCGCAATGGGTATCAACAATTTTCATTTATCTCACAAGACGCGCCGATTTTTCGATGACAAAATTCTCTGATTTGACACGGAGGACGGCCAGAATATATTATAGGCCGTAGACGAAAATCCTTCAAAACGTTGTTCTAAAGCTACATTTCCGCGTTTCACTGGGATTTCTTCTTGTGAAGATGACGCTTGCTGAAGGACAAGAAACAAATATCTCTCACTCACACTCGAATCGAAAACTTTTCAATCTCACATACCGCACAACAACGGAAAAATACTGAGTGGGGGCAAAAAACGCATACGCAAAAATTTGGGGAAGGATTTTGGCAGGAAAGCACTATCACAGCCATGCGACATTTGTTCGTTCTACAGTATTTCGTTTTCCCCCAAAGGGACGATCAAAAATTTAAAACTTGAACTTATTGCGTCGCGATATTATGTCATTTCTACGTATAGGAGGGATCCGTAAACGTCCCGTTGCGGAAATGGATAGAATCTAATCTGTTACCTAGACTGGTTTTCGTTTTTGGCATTTGATGGTATCTCACCCAGGAAAATATCTCGCGAAAAAAATGAAGTGAATTTAAAATTGCAAACGAATGTTCTCAATCATCGTACTACCATTTCCTCGTATCTGGACGAACTTGAACGTTCTGATTTCTTGGCCGCCACTCGGATCGTTAGCCATTTGCTGACTTCTTTCCACACCAACACGGCATCCATGTTCACCATGTCTTCCATGGATCGAGGGCAATTGGGGTATTCTCGATGATTGCATTGGAATTCTCTGTAATGGAGAAGATGAATGAGGAGAATGGATGCGTATCATAGCAGAATAAAAATAAATCAAAGAAAAGATTTGAACTTGAATCCGTTTGATTCAAGGACTGAATCTTACCTTTCTCTGCCCTTGTAAGCTGCTTCCATGTAATGCAGCAATCGTTTCCCTTGTGATGTCAATTCGAGCCCTCTTGCCACTGCTTGTAAGCCCTTGTAGTACCTGTATAACAATCAGTTGCTGTATTTACATGCTTCATGATTCTCAGCATGAAACAAACATATGATTAAAAAAATAAAAAAGCTCATTCAATTCAGCGTATTGAGATGACTCGAAAAAAATAAAATCAATCGTTTCTCACCGAATTTCATCGAGAAACACGGAACTCAAGGGAGTCATGGCCAGCTCATGTTTTGCTAATTCGCACAGCATTCTCAGTCGGCATTCCTCGTTGCCAATGTTGAGACTGTCGAAGAAGAAGTCCAGCTTGCTAAGTCGCTTCTCGCCGTCGAAGTCCGTGGGCAAAGCCAGTATCGTGTCACCGTCATTCGTTTGCACAACCCACGGGTTCGACGGTGTCGCACCTGGCACTACATCGGGCGAGGGTTTGAAGCTAGTCGACGTGGACGGCTGATGAATGGAAATGGGTGGACTCGAAGCTGTGATCGACGGTCTTTTCACGGGCTTGATGTCGATTGCCGAACTGCTTCGGGGGAAAAAGAGAGAGATTTTTTGTTTTTTTTTAATGATGGTCAACACTTTAAAAATTCTCGACGGTTAAATATTGGTGGAAGATGCTCTTGAGAAGATTCATTTTATTGCGATGAGGATTATTTTCTTTGATGTGTACATCCATGCAATTATAGATAACAACCGTGAGCATCGCAGTTTCTTTCTTTGGTGTTATGTTCAACTTGAAAAATTGAACATGTACTTCTCTGTGACCGATTTGCAAAACTTACCCTATTTTCTCAAGTATTGAATTTAATGTTGAACCTGGCGTGAAATAGTCAAACTGATACCGAATTAATCTAATAAAATCAGATCTTGAGCAAGCAATGGTATCAAACTTGAAAGAACTTCTTGTAACGCTCAAATGAAGCGGTACAAGTACCATTCATTACCCTTTCGAAGAAAATCTCGGGAGAGGAGGAAAGTAGAATTGAAATCAGAATCAAAATTGAGTTCTGTGCAGAATGCTGCCCTTTGAAACAGGAATTGAATTTGGTCCATGTCCTCATTTTTAATCAGAGATTCTCACACTCGTAACGGGTAACTTCAGAATAATTCAGCAGTTTACTATATGCTAATAGAATAATTCATTTCGTGTCATTTTCAAGCCCAGAAATAACTGAATTTCTTGCATCTTTCGAATCAAAATCAGCGCGGTTGTACAGGATTTCGGCTTGCGCAATAATTTTTTTTATTGAATTTAAAACGCATTCCGGAGTCATTGCGACATATTTCCACAAATATCTCGACTCATTTCTGCGTCTATGAAATGCAATTTAAGAACATGGAACCTGTACTGTAAATTTTTGCGATTTTCCTCAATGCACTTGTCGACTTCGAATGTCATGGGTAACGCAAATAAAAGGTCACTGTAGCGCAAAGGTTCGCTCAAAATGCTATTACAATTAGACTTCATTCTAAAAAAAAAAATCGGATAGAAAGGGGGTGCTTGCTTGCTTACTGGATAGTGTTCTGTGATGTTGGTCGGTTGTTGGAAGGTCGGACAGGTGTCAGACCTATCGTGATGACCTGGGGACGATGACCTGATGGTCGATTGCTGGAAGGTTGCTGAATTGCTGTTAAAGTTTGCACTGGTCCTGAAACTGGGCGATAAACACTGGTGAAATCCGATGTCGGCGTTGTTGACGATGATGGGAAATGCTGAGGTAGGCGCACTGATCTACTATCCAGATCACCTACAAAAGAAAGAA